GGGGAGAGAGGGGGGGGGCGCGGAGGTTTTGAAGTGCAGACACTCGGGCACGGCAGGGGAAGGGAGGGGAAAGGGGGGGGAGGGGGGGAAGGGAGGGAGGGGGAGAGAGAGAGTCTGAATTTCAAAATTTCCGTTTAAGTCCCGTACACTAGACCAAGAGTGGAGAAGAGTGATAGGATTGATTGAGAAGACAGCGTGTGGGTTCGGTTTTCAGTGGTTTTTTTTTTTTTTTCTTCTCACCTCCCATATAAAAGCGAACTTGTTTTTGAGCGTTTGGTGTTTCTTCCCCCAAGCCAGCCTGGCCACCCTACTCCCAAGAGGTGAGTAATTCCCGCCTGTGTGCGCTGCCTTCACCTCTCCTCCCTCCCTTCCTTCCCCAAAGCCCTTAACCCAAGAGGTTTTATTGGCCTCCAGCATTTGGGGTTACCAGAGGTGTGGGGAGACTTGGATTGAGTCCCAGGGAGGCAGGCAGACACCAGCGATTTGTCCATTTCTGAGCCTCCTGTTCTGCTCTTTCTTTGAGGTCACAAGACCCGCCTTAAAATGCAAGCTGTGTGAGCCCCCCTGGGCCATGGCTTCCTCCTCTGTAAAACGAGGGGGGCAGACAAGGTGATTGCTAAGGTTTCTCAGATCCTACCCATTTCCTACTCCAAGTCAGAGGATATCAGAACAGGGTCCATTGAGTCATGAGGTCGTAGGACTTAGTGCTAGGAGTGGGTCTTGGAGATCATTTCACTCAAAGCCCTGATTTTACAGAGAAGAGACTGGTCCAGGGTCACGCAGGGAATTAGGTGAACCCCAAATCCAACGGGGTGGGAGGCCGCATCTTGGAGAGCCATCCTCTAAGTGGGCTTTTCCAGGTCCCCTGTGGTCTGTACTTTGCAGGGGCCAGGAAGAGTTCAGACTGGGCCCCCCACTTAAGAGCTATGGGGAGCAGGGCTAAAGCAGGCCATTCCCCTCACACCTTCATTCGCAAAACTAGGCTAAGAGGATTTAGCAAGTGTACTGGGAGAAGGGCACTAGGTAAGTCCTGAGCTTTGGTTAGCACTGTCTTTGCTAGCCATACCGCGGTTAGAGGATTTGATAATCATGTTGTATGTGAATAAATGATATGAATACTGATTATCCTATAGCTATTATGTTATGACACAATAATGATGGCACAACCTTAATCTCACTTGGCCTTCAAATTAGCCCCACTTGACAGAGAAGAAAACTAAGGCCCACAAAGGAGAAGTGATTTGACTAAGGACACAGTGAGAATGTAACTGAGCCCCACGGAGTTTGGTGGGGTGCGCGGCCTTCCAATGCCAAGTATTCAGAGTACCCGGCTGGTCCCCAGCTCAGTCTCCCAACACAAGGAGATCGTTGTATATAGTCAGCTACTGTCCGCAGGGCCCTGTGCTCACAGATGGGGCAGGGGAGAGGGAGCAGGGAAGTAAGAAGCTGGTCCAGAGAAACCGGAGGAGCTGCCCTTTGGCACTCTGGGAAGGTTGAAAGCACAAATAGATCTGGGAACAGAGGCTTGGAGGAGGTAGGTATATAAATGGAGATATGAAGCGGGGGGAGGGTGGCTAGAAGCAGCCCCTGACTCCCAGATCAGACACCCAGGGGTGTGAGAAAGTGTCTAGGCCTCTTCAGAAAGGGGAAAAAAAAACCAAACCCAAAACTTGAACACAAATAACCTGGAAGAAGCCCTACTATGGTGTGGGACAAGTAGAAAGCTCATTGCAGACAAACCCAGGTCTCTTCAAAGTGTGTGCGCGTGTGTGTCTGTTTCTGCAGATCTAAACTGGTCACTTAGAGCGCTCAGAAGGCAAACCATACAGATTTGGAGAAAGGTAAGTTATCCCCTTCCTCTTCCTCCCCTTCACTGGGCCTCAGTTTCCTTCTGTGTCAAACCAAGGGTTTGGAGCACATTGGCTCAGTCCAATCCTGTGAGCCTAAGGGTTATAGGGTGCCCCATGTGGACAGTGTCTGGGGCTCCAGGCTCCCTTCCCTTCCCCTGGCCTCCAAAGGAAGTGCTTAAGGTTCAAGGATTCCTGAGGTCTGGTGGGGGAGGGGAGCTCTCTCCCTTGCTGTGGGATCTACCTCAGTTTTCAATCTCTGTTTAAAAAAACAAAAAAGTGTATAGGGGTGGGGTGGAGTTGGTGAGCCCTTTTAATCTTAAGATGCCTAGGCTTGCAGGAGGTGCCCACAGGCTGTAGGCCATGCCCAGGGGATACGAAGACAGCAGAGACAGAGGCCTTAGGGAGCTACCAGTCCACTAGGGGAAACCAGCATGGAAGAAGATGCTTATCTTTGGTTGGTTTGGGAATTCCTGGTGAAGAAATCCCATCTGCCAACACCACTCTCTGGCCACCTTGCCATAGTCTCCCAGAGCAGCCCAGGGCACCGAAAAGTGAAGTGACTTGTCCAGGAACACACAGCAAGGAGGTGTCAGAGACAAGACTTGAACCTAGCTCTTTATCCGCTCTGCAAGGCTGCGTGTCCCAGATCGGGCAGGGACACAGAGGCAGGGGATGGGCAAACAACTCAGAACAAAGGAGTCGGCTGGCAAGGTGAAGGGTGAGCTGTGAATGCCAAAGAGAGGGGTTTGCACCCCAACCCAGAAGCTTCCTCAGGGCCATGGTCAGGGCCATGGTCATAGCCAGGCTTCTCACCCATGTTTTTACACCGTGGAGAGGAGGGATCAGTCGGTCAGGGAAAACTCAAGACAGAGACCAGTTGGGAGGCACAGTGTCACAGCAGTCCCTGCGTTAGTGGAGAGATGTTGCCCGGGAGAATCGCCACGTGGTGAGGTGTGAGGGAGAGGCAGCAGCCAGGAAGATGGCGGGCCCTCAGAAGAGCTACAGAACTTAAGGGGACAGAATGGTGTGGGTGGGGCCAGGGCAGGAGGGATGACTTCTGTTTGGGACGTTGAGGAGAGTCTGGCGGCTGCAAGTCAGAACGTTCGGCCTCAACAGCTGAGCTGGAGTCCCTGAGGTGACCGTTCTGGGTGAGACCTAGAGGAGAGCTGAGTCTGGAATAGGTCACCCTCTCATCACTGGCGCCCTGTCAGGGAACCCAGAGGGAGGGAGGGAGGGAGGGAGCAGGAGGAGGGGTCAGCGAACCCCAAAGAGGAGCCCATAGAAGCTGGGTGTTGGTAGCTCAGCCCGCCAAAGGTATTGCCTTCTCCCAGGCCTGCTCTTCGGAGAGCCCTGGGAGCTTGGGAAAACTGAGGCGCAGAGAGGGAAAAATAGCTTGTCCGGGGCTGGCAGAAGCATTAGGGCTGGGAGGCAGAAAGGATCTCAGAAATTGTCTAGTCCAACCCTTCTAACTTTCGAACAGAGAAAAATGAGTCCCCAATAGTTGAAGATCAGACACTCTAGGGACAGGGCTCTGTCCACCAGCAAAGCTGGGAAAGAAGCTTGCAGTGGCACGGACAATGGGAAGCCATGCTCCAGGCAAGGCCTTTAGTCTTCAGGAAGACTGTTAGATTGGATTGGATTGGACTAGAGGGTAAGAAGGTCCTAGGCCCAAGGGTGGAGTTGACGCAGGGCATGTTTTCCCGGATATCACCCATTTCCGCTGCTATTCACGTCATAAGTCCAGAAGTAGGGGGCCCAGGCTGCTGGGCAGGCCCCACCGGTTCTCAGAACGAAACCCTGGGGTGGCGTTTTCTTCTGTATCGCCAGTGACGTGGTGGGAAGTCTGGGGGTGGCAGGGCCGCTCAAGCTGGCCATCTCCTCCATCACACTGGTCTGTAATAGAACCCTAGCTCTCACAAGAGAGGTGTGGCCCCCAGGAAACGGTCAGAAATGTAAGGGCAGGTCCCTATTGCTCACCCCACAAAGGCCTTTCTGAAAAAAACACAGCATGGAGAATAAGGACGAAAACTGGGGACCAAAACCAAGTTCCATCTGAATCTGCCTTTCCCCCTAAAAAGTTCATCAGAGGGACAGCAGCCATAATAACACCAAGCCGAGGGCCTTCTCTCACTTGAAGAACATCCCAGGGTTCTACTGGGTCCCAAGACTTGAATATCCGAGGTGGACATTCCAAGAATTGACTTCTGTGATTCTAAGATTCTCTGGTATGTGTGCAGAATGGTGCAGAGCTGAGTGGGAGACGCTGCTGACGTGGCTGAAACAGAGAAATGTCGAGAATGACTTTGCCCACCCATCATCCACCGAGACCCCCACCATCAGGGAGAGAGGGGAGGAAGGACCAGCCTGTTCAAAGTCCTTTACTGAGTTAGAGCAAGAGTCTATGATTCTAACTTACAATCTTAGATTCACAGAATTTTTGAATCAAAGAATCTTAGAATTTGAAATTCAGAGAATTCGAAACTCCCAATGACTTCCACTGCCCTCTTCATGTAGCGTTAAAAACAGCACCAGGCCGCCACATGGCACTTTGAGGAAGAGCTGGTCTTTCCCTCCATTTTGGTTTTCTCCACCTGAACCCAATCTTTTTTTTTTTTTAAGCCCCAGGGCTCTGGAATATGATTGCATCATTATTTTAGTGAGTTTAAGCCCTTTCTCTGCCCAATGACTTCACTGTCTGAACTTGGCTATGTCTTTCCCCCTCTCTGGGCCTCAGTTTCCCTAACGGTCTCCTCTTAGATCTCTTTCAAGCTGAGAGGGAGAGAGACAGAGACAGAGAGACACAGAGAGGGAGAGTGAGGGACAAAAAGAGAGAGAGAGAGAGAATCAAGAATGAAGAAGGGAAGGAGGGAAGGAGAGAGAGAGAAGAGAGGAAACCATTTTGTTAGTGCCAGCCCAATAAGGAGCCACTGAACCTGAGATGGAGAAACCCCAGAGAGATCCCAGGCCCTCTGCAGGGCCCAAAGACCAGACAAAGACCCTACACAGTTCAGACTCTCATCTCTCTGCCAGGAAGCCCATGTCAGCATCTTCTCTTCTTCTAGGCTACCTGAGGACCAGCTTAATGCCCAATCCCAAGCCACACCAAATCCCAGTAGCCTCTTCTTCCATGGCTTCCTCCAGCCTCGTGGCTCACATGAAGGACACAGAACTGGTAACCAGAGGGGCCTTGGAGTTTCCAGGTTGGGAGGCTGGGCCTCCCCCCCGAGGGGGACCCACTGGGACAAGTGCCTTATCACCACAGGTAGGTACTTGGGGGGCTAGGGAGCTGAGAGGGGTGGTGCCCTCCCCTTTCATTGAGGGAACCTTCACCCCTATATGTGAATCACTGGGGAGAAGAGAGCAGAGGAAGTGGTTTCTGGTCTCTCTGAAGAGGTGAGGGGGCGCCGTCTGTTTCTTATGCAGATCTCACCAGCAGGAGAAATTCCCCTCCAACTAGGGCACCTACCTTCCCTACCGCCCCCCTCCCCATCCCAACCTAAACCTTAGGGAGGGGGAAGGAAAGAAAGACAAAGACAGAGAGACAGACACCAAGGGAAAGAGAGAGACAGACAGACACACTCAATCAGGTGGCCTCTGGGAAACCCAAAATATATGGCTACTGTCACATTTGAAGGGGGGGGTTGTGCAAGTGACTTGGCTACAGTCACAAAGCAAGTGACTGATGGAGAGAAATTCCAAAGCATCCCCTCTTGGGAGCACATGTAAACCTCTTTCCATTTGTCACTCCTCTCTGGGTCCACCTCCCAGCCTTAGCTTGCAGCCCATTGCCCTGCTGGTCCATCCAGAGGAAGATGGGAAAAGGCTTGGTCCCAGTGCCTTCTGGTATTGCAGGTCCACTGGGATTCCCAAATTCCTCAGGCCCAAGAACTCCCCCAAAATGGGAAATTGGGTCACCTGGACAGAAATTGATTTTCATGGATTTGTGCTGCCACCGACTTGCCCCCTCTGGAGCTGCGCCTGATTAAGATGCTCATTTTCAAGCTCTCTCACCTCGGGCTCAGCCTTTTTTACTTATCTCCTCCCTCCGTTGGTCCCTCCCCCCCCACCATCTCCATGGTGGCCCCTCCTTTCCCTTCTCTCTTCTGACCAGCTAGCTTTCCATTCCCGCTTCTCCATGCTGTCTCTCCCCCTTCCAGATTGAAAGCCCTTATCAGTCCCATTCATCCCTCCCCCACCCCGTCTTGTAGGCATGGCTGCCATTCATCTTCATAACTGGACTCAGTGGGCACTCACTGCTGAACAGTGGGTTTGCTCCTAGGCTTTCACTTGGGACAGTTGTCCCTCCATTTTGGTTCTCTCCAGCTGAACACCTTCTTTCTTCAATTGTGTCATGTTGAGATGGATTGAAAAGTGAATATCTACTTTGAGTCTCAGAAGGAAAAAACAATTTTCAATAGTCCTAAATGTAGACCACATCAGGTGCAGGACACATCAAGGCCTTTAAGAAGCAAGGTAGCAGCAGCAATCCTGAAATCAGCCACTGCCATTCCCACATCCTGGCCAAGAGGCCCAAGGCCTATTTGTTTCCTAACTGCGCCATCCCGATCAGTTCGACAGGATGCTGCATTCCCACGACAGTGTGGAGAGAAGGCTAGAGACAGAGAGGGCAGCCACAAGGCCCAGGGAGGCAGGTGATCTGGTGCTCTGATATGCAGGCTGTATTCCATCTTGGACCCTGGAGATCTGCTGGCTGGTCCTATTTGGCCCCAGACAGAAACAGATTTAAGATCAATGGGTGGATGGGAAGCAGTGGGCTGCTTCACGCAGAGGCTGGCTGCCCCCTTGCTGACCACGTTGTTCCATCATGCATTGCATAAGATGGCCACTAACCTGAGACTCTGGCATTCTGTTTCTAACCTTCCCCTCCCAGTTGCCAACAGGCCCCATGGTGATGGTGGCCCCATCAGGTGGGCGGCTCAGTACATCGCCGCACCCCCAGGCCCTGCTTCAGGAGAAGCAGCATTTTGTACACCAGGTACGAGGGGGCAATGCCCTAGTCTAACTCTGGCAAGACCAACCTTCTCACATAATTGTTTGGCATATGGCTGCCTGCGGAAGGGACTTCCTCTCTTTTCCTCCCCTCTCCATGACTTAGCTCACCTCTGCTGAGGTCCTCGGCCGGCCCCCACTGGTACACATGACGCCACTGAGCACCCCTGCCCTGATCAACCTGCCTTCACCTCCTGGAGTCATCACCCTCAAGACCAGACCCGCCCAGCTGCATGGCCTTCCTCCTGGTAACAGTCTGATGAGTTGGACCTGCTCCTGTCCTTCCCCATCCATGGCTCAAAGCCTGGACTCCAGGAAACATCCAGTCCAAACCCCCCACCCATTGCACAGATGGGGCAAATGAGGCCCAAAGAGCAGATGAAGCCGTGGCCAAGTCAGGCCCAAAGCCCAGACTTCTTAACTCCCTTGGATTGGGGCCTCAGCATTCATGAGAGAGGGAAGTCAACCAAGGCTGAGTGGCCAAGGGAGACCTTGCTCATCCTACGGCCAGCTGTCTACCAGTGTGACTAAGGCCTCCCCCACCACAACTGTTCTTCCTCCTTTCCTCTCCAGGGATCAACCTTGCCAACCTTGAATGGTTGCCCAAGGAGCCAGCCAACATGCTGACAACTTACCTCTGTACCTTTCCCACTGGGCCCAGCCCTGGGGATGCCTCTGCTTTCCGGCTTGGCCCCAAGAAGGAGAGGTCAGTGCCATGCAGCCTCGAATGGGGAGAATTTGAGAATCTTAGCAAGAGCCAGCCTGGAATCGTGGATAGAGGGAGGCTCAGCCTACGTGCTGACGCTGGAGTTTCTCTCCTGTCAGGGGCTGTGCTCCAGCCAAAAGGAAGGCTGGGGTGGGGGAAATCTCAGCATTTAGGGCCCTAAGCCTCCCGGAGGCAAAGGAACATCCAAAGGGGTGGAGGGATTTGTTCCAAGGTTCCCCAGTGGCAGAGTTGGAGCTGGGGAACATTCCATGGCTCCCCTGTATCCGTCCTTCCACAGCATCCTCCAGACCTGCGCACTGGACAGTTCCCGGAGTTGCTGGTGGCCTGGTTGTGAAAAGGTCTTCCCGGAGTCAGGGGAGCTCTTGAAGTAAGTGAGTGCCCAGTCCCAGGAAGGTGACAGGGCTTCAGCAGCTCAAGCTGCTCTGTTTCTCCTGCCTCCTTCCCCTAGACACCTCCAAGAGGACCATCGCTTAGATGAGAAGGGGAAGGCCCAGTGTCTCATCCAGAAAGAGGTGGTACAAAACCTGGAGCACAAGGTGAGAGGGGGTCACCCCCTGGGAAGAGGCTGGCTGGGAGGGTGGGGCTCGAGCAAATCACAGAGGTTGCTAGGTGGCCCTCAGTGGAGAACTCGGGACCTGATCACCAAGATGGCGTCACACACTTCCCAGCTCCATGGCCCTGGGCAAGTCACTTCACCTTAGCCTGCCTCACATTTCCTTATCTATAAAATGGGGATCATAATGGCACCGCCCTCCAGTGAGATCACCTATGGTAAATGCGCTATTGTGTCCAGGAAGGCCCTGAGGTTTGAGGGGAAGGCGGACGGAGGAGGAGGAGGTCAGCTGCTCCTCTCTCTTCTCTCTCACAGCTACTCCTAGAGAAAGAGAAGCTAGGCGCCATGCAAGCCCACCTGTCTGGGAAGCTGGCGCTGATGAAGCCTCTGGCTATGGTGAGTGGGGCGATGCTCCCTGTAGAACCAGAGACTTTCTCATAGGCCGAGGATTTGTGCATTTTCAAGACTCTGGCTCTGTCAGTGATAGACCCCTGACTTGGAAGTAAGGCAGTAGGTAGATGGGCTCTTGGCAGGCGCAGACTCATCTCACAGCCCCTTGACCGTGTAGGCCAATCGTGGGCTGGTCCGGAGCCCCCAAAGTGCTCAGTCAGCCTCCTCTCAGGACTTTGTTCCGTGTCTGACCAGCTCGAGGGATTAAGTGTTAGTTGGCGTGGGGCAAGAGGCAGGGTACTGGCTTTGGAGTCTGCCGTCCTAGATTCAAACCCCAGCCTGGACACCTTGGGACAAGTCATTTGGCCTCAGTTTCCTCACTGGTGAGGTAAAGGGGCAGATCCCTCCCAAATGCAAGCCCAATTTCTCCTCTGCATGGTACCTCGCAGCTCTGACAGCTTAGCCTCCCTCTCCTTCCTAGAGCCCTTCCACAGAGAAGGCGACCTACTGTCCATCAGGGAGCCTGGGCCCCAGCTGGTCAGCCTGGCCAGCATCCCCAGAGGAAGAGAAAGAAGCAAGGCTCCCAGGGCGGGGCCTCTTCGCGGTCAGGAGGCACCTGTGGGGTAGCCAGATGTCCCCGGGTGAGCATCCCTAGGTGGACTGAGGCTAGGGGGAGGGGCTGCCTAGCCACAGGCCCAAGAAGAGGCCCAGGGAGGTGTAGCCAGCCCCTTGGGTGGGTCGCCTGTGTGCTTCTCTGAGCTCCATCACCACTGAGGGGTGTTGGCTTCTCCTACCCCAGATTGAAAGGCAAATAGTGGGGATGCTGGGGAGGGAGGAGCTAGCTCACTGCCTGCCTCCTCTCCCCACAGAATTTGTCCATAACCTGGAATACTTCCGATCCCACAATCTGCGGCCACCCTTTACCTACGCTACTCTTATCCGCTGGGTAAGTCAAGGCATCAGAGCTTTAGAGCCTGGCAGACCACCTTACCCTTGGACCCTGAGCCCAAACCAACCCCTCAGTCCAGAGCCTGACCCTGCCTTGAATTCAGCCTCAGGCTCAACCCCAAATTGAAACCCTATGGGGACCCGACCCCCAGAAGCTGCCTCCAACTAAATCCAACAAATACAGATCTCGCTGTGCAAGATGCTCTGGGAGGTAGGCCCTGGAGAAACAGAGAAAAAGCAGCTGCCCTCACCAGCACCCTAAAGAACACAGATGGGGAGAGGCAGCCCCTTAGCTGAGCCTGGGAGGAGGCACAAGAAGGAGGGGAGGAAGATGACCCCTGCAATGGCAGAGTATACACAAAGCTAGGGAAGGACAGATGGCTGAGGGCTGGGAGGAGGCCAGCTCACCTTGGGGGCATGGGGAGGGAAGCCAGCTCATCTGGGGCGGGGGGGGGGGGGGGGGGGGGGGGCCCCCCCCGGGGGGGGGGGGGGG